GAACAAAAGGTATAAGAGTATAATAATGATTCTAACATAACACTAAGCCAAACACCAAAAAAAAAAAAACTACATATGTGTATGTACAACCCTACACACATACATATATACTGTATATGTACATACCAATGTTTGCAAAGCTCTGGCTGAGAAAAAAAATCCATTCAATTAAGACTGGGAGTTCCTGGACAACACGAGGGGTGGCTGAAACGTGACCTATATTCCCGATTGTACTGGCTCTATAATTTCATATTTTGTGGAGTAAGAGCAATAAAAGCTCAGATAATATTTCGAAAACAAGGAGGGAGTTAATATGCAGAAAGGAAGTGGAATACAGCACTCAATAATCAATAAACATCAATGAAGGGAATAGTGTGTATATATATATATATATATATATATATATAACCAGCTGAAATGGAGTGTCCATAGTCTTTCTACAATGTATTTTCTGAGAACTTTGTTTAACCCCCTTATGCAGCAATTTTCTCCCTTAAAGAAAAACATTTTTACTGACTTTTTTTTTGGCATGAAGCACAGAATTCTTGACTGAATCATGAATTTTCAGTCACAAGTGGCATATTTCGTGTGAATACGATATTGAAAGTATTCTCCAAGGACAGAGCATCAAATGTCAGGCAAACGGCGGGGATGTTATAACCTCTCACTCTCCTGTGGCAGGTCAGTTTGTAGAGGATTCAGGTGTAAATCCTGAGGCTTATGCGTGACGACCCCGCTGAACCGCTGCCGTCCTTCACTTCTCACGCGTTTACTGATTTACTCCGGAGCTACAGCTCAGTCCTGCTCCTTCAAACCATGCTTCCTGGCACAACCATGCAGAAATAACAGCATCGATTTCATCTCGCCATCCGCCCACTATCGTGTTTACACCTCACCCGCGTGACCCGCGAGCCGTGCGACTGCTCGTGAAACAACAGAGCTGAAATAGCAGGTATCATGTGGAGTAAAACAATCATTAGACAGATGCATCCACCTCTTCAAGAGCCTCCATCACACCGCAGCCCTCTCTTCCTCCTGTTAATGCATCCCTGCAAAAAAACACTGGTATAAAAGAGCATAATTAATACGATTTCTGCAGTTTATTCTCTCTGTTTTCTCTAGAAGTGGTTTTCAGACAGTTTAAAATGGTCTTAAGTATTGCCGTTTTTGTTACTTCTGTCATCTAAACTACAGTATGATGTCAGTATCATCATATTTTTGCAATATCTGTTGGGTGAACACAATAAAACCTCAGCAATGTACATTCAGACAAACAGGTGTTTTTAGCACGTTAATAAATGCCAGACTGGGGTAAGAAGTCACAGTTTCATATGATGTATTTATTTAAGTTAAAATGTATTTTAAAATTAGAATTTAATTTATTAAAAATACAAAAATACATTAATTAACATACATATAAACAAGCTAAGTCTAGTGTGATGACATGCCCCAAAAGATAAATATGTTCAATGAACCATATTTTTTGATCCTGTTAAATAATTGTGAAAATATTTATCAATACAAATAATTATAAATATTTATAAACACAAATTATTATAAATAGTTATTAATATGAATATAAATCTTTATAAATATATTTATTATATTTATATATTAATTATAAATATTTATAAATATAATTTTTTTTACTTTATTTCTTATAGTCAAGACATGTATTTTGACAATAAGTCCACACAAAGTGTGACAACTTGCCCCAGCCTGACATACAATCCAAGCTTTTCTAAACAAACAAACAAACAAATAAACAAAGTATGGAGAGTATGGAGGACCAAAACAAACATATAAACAAATGCAACCACAAATATTCAAATAGTAATTTACTATTAGCTGGTAAAGCATGGTGCTTAAAGGGGTCATATGATGCGATTTCAATTTTTCCTCTTTGTTTGGCCTTCCAAAAGAGGACACGACTAGAAATCAGTGGTTAAGTTGGATTTATAACACTGTTTCAGAACACTTCAACCCAAATATTCCTACACCAAATACACAACATAATGTTCTTTTTAGCAACGTCATATGACCCCTTTAAAATAAAAGATCAGATTAGGATGCATTGCATTTTGGGAATTAGTGCTTCATCTAGTAGTATCTGTTTCCTGTGCTAAATTTAGTATATTATTTGGTCAAACTGTAAAAACATTAACAGCAGGTAGAAAAAATATGTCATTTAATCATCATATGTATTTAATACAAATAAATATTTTCCAGATATTTTAATAATTTATTTAGACTTTAATACAATTACAATATAGAATATATATCTCACACTGCATATATAAAATATATACAATAGGACGGAGTTCCCTCGTATCGTCGTATTTGGAGAAATAGTTGGCCCTGTTTTGTAGTGCTGAGCATCTCTGTGCTGCAGTAATGACACCAATTAAACAAATGATCCCGGCCATTATCAGCAGCCAGCCAGCCCACTCCTTCATTACTTCACTTCATTGACTTGTATTAATAGTAAGCACAGAGTACACCGAGTGCTTTGTTTTCATTTGTGCCGCAGTGACTTTCAGACAAACCCGCAGATGAGAAAGATATATTGACTTTGCTATTGACTCTTGATCTCCAACCAAAGCCATCTGTGCAGTTTTATGAACTTCTCTTCACACTTCTCACGATTATTATTCGTTGTTGGATAAAACTGCCATAA